ACACAGAACTTCAAGTCCTACAACCCTCCAAAGGACTCACCGGAGTCCTCTTCACCAAACATCCTCTGCTTAACTCTCAATTCCTCCAGAAGCTGCTCCCGAACCTGCAGATAATGCAGGTCACTGACCAAACAACCACTGTGCCAGGACCCTGTGCACCTGGCATCGCCTCCTTAAGGCTTTATGAGCCCTGATTAGTTTCCTGTGTCCCCATCCCTAAAGGAAGGGATGAAGACCCTCTGCTTCAGATAGGGCTATACACTGTCCCTTCCCCTTTCCTGTCCTGTCCCACTTAAGGAGTTCCCTCCAGATGCCAGGTCCCTTGAGGGCTCCTCTCCCCTAGTCTGCCCATCACCCCCCATCACTGCCCATATGCGATGCCCCTTCCTCCCGCCCAGCAATGTCAGACTGGGGAAGAAAGGTGGGGAGGGCTTTGTGTGGAATGGATACACTTTCACATTTCGTCTCTTAAAGAACAATCTAATCATTTCTGATGGCGTCTGTAAGAACATGAAACACTAATTACTTTTCTGAGAAGAAAGTACAGACTAACCTTGTGAAAAGTCTGGAGAATATGAAGGAGATAGTCCCTCAAAACCCTTCAGTGTAGACAGCCAAGGTGAATGACACTGTTTTCATACTGACATCTATGCTCATCTCCAAGATCCAGTTCATGCCTCTTTAACAACCACCTTCTTTTTTAAAAAGTATTTTGACACCGGGCCTGGTATTTTTGCTGTCATCTTAGTGTCAACTTGATACACCTGGGTTGAGGGAGCCTCAATTGGGGAATTGCCTCCATTGGACTGGCCTGTGGCCATGTTTGTGGGGCATTACCTTGACTGTTGAGTGAGTGATGTGGGAGGGCCCAGCCCACTGTGGGTAGTGCCACCTCTGGGCAGGTGGGCCTGTGTTAGATAAGAGAGCAAGCTGAGCAGGGGCCAGGGAAGCAAGCCAGTAAGCAGTGTTCCTTCACGGCCTGTGCTCCAGCTCCTGCCTCCAGGTTCCTTCCCTGAGTTCCTACCTTGGGCTCCCTGAAGAAATGTGACCCAGGAGACGTAAGATAAATAAACCCTTTCCTCCCCAAGTTGGTAGTGGTCAAAGTGTTTTGTCATAGTAATGAAGAAACAAACTAGGACACCCTTGAAGTCAAGTGGAAATGTAGCTCCTGACAGAAGCCCTGTTTCCCACCTGTTTCACTGAGGTTGGCTGGGGTTCAACCTGATGCCAGCCTCCAACCCTACTCTCCAGTTCATTAAGCACCTGCTGGGAATGGCTTTCAGGGTCATTCTCCTCCTCAGGGAAGGGGCATATGTGGTAGGGCTTTCCTTCTTCCTTTGTCCCCAGGGTCAGGGCTTTCTGGTAGAATCACAGCCAAGAACAGGCACACCCTCACACCCTCACCTCGCTCCCCAGTGATGAACACCACTTGATCTTTACTCTGGGCCTTGAGGATAGGGAGGAGGACTTAGCCTGCGAGCTAAGAAATGACCAAAAACACTTCCCTGGCCTGCCTGCCTGTCTAGAGCCAGGAGGCCCTTGGCCTTGCTAGGGCTGGTATGCATGAGGGGGTAGAATGGGGAACAACACAGAAATGGTCCCCTTGGCTCCCTGCACACTCACCCCAGTGTTCAACAAGAATAGGGGTTGGTGCCTCTGCAGCAGTCCATGGCTCTGGGTACCCTCGAAGCCAGTGACTTTGGGGACGTACTGGGCACTGCTGGCTCATACCAAGGACCAACTCTGGGCCCTGTGTGTGTTAACTTACAAGATGGGACCAGATGACTCCACCCTTGACCTGGTAATGGAAAATCTACTGCCCACCCCTTCACACGAGAATTAAAGATGACTCAGCTGTGTCCTCTGGCCACCAGAGCTATATGTGTGTGTGGTTCACAGAAGCTGCTCTGGGGTCTCTCTGCCTTTAACCTTGGTGTCTGGCACTTTTCTCTCCCTGGCCTTGCTGCAGCTCATTATCAGGGCTGGGGGCGGTGAGGGATAGGGGCCAAGGAGCTGGTCAGTTGAAGAGTGTAGCTTCTGAGCTCAGAGTTGTGGGCAGAGACCTGTGGCCCTCACACTAGCTAGACCTTTGCCTCTCTCATGAATGGGCCCAACTCTCCTCTGTACCTCCACTCTACTCAAGCTGGCCAGCCACCTTATAGCCTCTGGGAAGACCAATTAGGATGGCTCTTTCTGACAGATGCTGGCCTCCTATTCCCAGCCAGGCTGACCCAGAATCCACTCTCCTATCAAAAGCCAGAACATGTGGTTCAGTGGAGACCCGGGAGTGCATAAAGGGTCTAGCTTGGCTGCCTGGAAGTTGGAGTGAAAGAGGTCTGGATGGTGACATGATGGTGACTGAACTATGAAGAGACAGTGAAACTCTTCTGCCATGTCCACATTCTGCAGGAAAGTCTAGACTGCTCATATGCCTTGGAGGAGTAGAACCTCTCAAGAACGGGCACAAGAGGATACAGGGTGGAAGCAGCCTGGTAGCTGGGCCACCAGGGCTGGAGGAAAGGTTAGCTAGCACTAGTTCCTCAGCCTGCCTGAGACTGGGCCCTGATCAGAGGGGTCATCATAGCCCCACCAGCATCTTCTAAAGCAAGTGGTTTCCTATTCTCCTCAGCCAGAAAAGGGCATTTAGAGGGTGTTGGAGGCAGGTCTGGGATGAGCCAGTAGGAGACTAGTGCTCAGAGGAGAGCTCACCCAAGAGCACCTGCTGCAGACATTCAAGTGGACAGTGAACTAGACTGTACAAAACACTACTGCCCACAGTGGTCACGACTGCATACAGCACCATCCCCTTCCTACTGGCACCTCTCCTAGTCATGGGACTAATAGATCCCTCCTGACTCCACCTGGTGGCTAGCATGCAGACAGCAGAGCTAAGCAGCTAAGGATGGATGAAAGAAGGGATGAATGAGTGAAAGGGATGAGGGAAGGAACGCACAGGACCAGCTACTCTGCATCTGGGTGGTGCCTATGTATTCCATCATATGGCCTCTCATTGGCTGATGAACAGGGGATGGCCTACAGCCCTCTTCTGCAGGGTGTCCCCAGGAATTCTGACTAGGACTGGGAGTTCTAGAGACTGTCCCTTGGGGCCTGTGTTTTCCTTTCTCTCTAGGTACCCCCAGAGAGAGCAGCTGGGCTTGTTTGCGTGAGCTCTCCAAATGGGAACAGAGCAAATGTCCCCGGAGTCCTCAGGGGAGGGCAGAGAGAAAGCCTCGGAGGGCTTATGGTGCCCCCATTCCCCTCCTGCCCCTATCTTGGGTTTTACAGGGACTGACATGGGGCTAGTCCCCACAGCTGTAATGATCAGCCCTGTGCTTCATGGAATAATCTAGAGGGACTTAGGTGGGCTCTGCCCCTAGCAGACAAATGTGAAGAGGAGAGTCACTTGGCCTTTCTGAGCTTTGCCCTCCCCATTTAAAAATGTAATCTGCGTGGCTGATGTGGAGGAGCACCAAGGCTGTGGAGAGTCCACACATGGGCTGTGCCCAGACAGAGGCTGGCACACAGGGAGAACTCAGCACAGCCCACGGGCCACCAGTGAGCGCCTCTGCCCTGTGGGAAGTGGCCACACAGGATGATGGCTACAGGGACTGAGGAGACAGACGTTTTAGCATCAGAGGAGGAACGTGTATATGTTTGTGCATGAACACATGCACATCTGTGTGCCTTGTGTGTTGCATGTGTACAATGTATGCATGTGAGTACATATACCCACATATGCATGAGTCTATATAGGAATGTATATACGTGTGTGAATGTTTAAGTATAGGCTTAGTGTGTGCATGTACAGGTATGTGGGTGGAATTGCACATGTGTAACTGAGTATGAGCACAGGTACACTCACTGTGAGTATAACTGTATGTGTGTATACACATGAGCATGACTAGCTGTGATGTGAAGGTTCACCTATAAGACTGTGTAACTGTGCATGTGCATGCATGAGGCTATGTAACTGTGCATGTGTAAATGTGAGCTTGTGTAACTCTGTACATATCCATACATGAAATCATGTAATTCTACATGTGCACACATGTAACTGTGTAATGTTGTGCATGGGCACATGAGATTATACAGTTTTGTGCATGTGTATGTATGAGCATGTGTGACTGTGCATGTGCACACATGACACCATGTAACTGTGCATGTACCTGCATCAGAGTATGTAACTCTGTGCATGTGTACATGTGGGAGTACAACTGTGCATATGCATACCTGAGACTGTAATTCTATGCATGTACTCATGTGGGACTGGGTAACTGCATGTGCCCATGTGAATGTTTAACTGTGCTTGTGCCAACATGAGAGTATGTAACTGTGTACATCTGTCAGACATACGCACGCAGACCTCTAGCTCTGGGGAGGGACCTACCCTGAAGGACAGTGGAAAGAAACCTGCTGCTCTGGGACATCTTTATCACTACATTTCCATTTTCCATGTCTGTCCTCAGACCCTGAGTCAACAAGCTGTCCTTCATCACCTGCAGTGCCAAGTCCTCTTAGTGCCCAGGAAGCATCAGTATGTGGAGCACATGCCATGGGTGAATTCCTGATGGAAGGCTGTATGGCCAGGGTAGATGGGCTGACAGGAGTCACAAGGATGCATGGTGGAAATGGTCACTTCCCTGCCCAAGCAGAGTGGTCAAAATTGCCCAAGGCCTGGAGGCTGCATGTGTGCAATACTCTCAAATCCCACCAGGTGGAGCCACATGCCCATCTTAAGACTTCAAGTGCAGTTCAGGCTTCCAGGTCCAGAACCCACATTTAAGGCCTAGTTGACTCCCAGGTTTCTTTCTGTAGCTGACTTGGACCAAGTGCTCTGGGTACCAGCTGAAAAGAGCCATGATAGAGGGGTGAGAGTCGGGAAGGGCGTACTCTCTAAGCCTACAATGGGGTGGGGCAGAGCCCCCTTCCCCAGAGCCTGACTCCAGCTCCCTGGGTCCTGAGATTCCCCGGGAGGGAGGCCATGCTGAGGCCACACTCACCTTTCCAGCCCTGCAGACATCTCTTCACTAAACTCTGAGCTCTCACTACTGCCTGGAAAAGGAACACAGATCAGTGAGCATGGCGGCCTCACAGCGAGGGGCCTGTTTTCCTGGGCTCTCAGTCACAGGGCCCCAACCTGAGTTCACAGCATCCTGACCCTGTGGGCCACAACAGGACTTGAGTTTCTCCTGGTATCTCTGACTATGCTCTGGGTGGGTTCAAAGAACATTCAGTCCCACCATTCTCTGGGGGGGTCTGCACTCCCTTCCCACTGATTGCCCTCTGGCCTATGGGGCCAGTGTCTTCAGGACTGTCTGGTCTGGCTCTACCACTGCCTCCCTGCTGCTCCAGGACCTCACCTGCTAAGGGTATTGACCAGGTGAGCACTTCTGCCCCCAAGGTTGGGGCTGGGCTAGATGCTGGTCTCAGTGAATCTTGTCTACATGGGACAGAAACCTTGAGTAAGGGCCTCTGCAGACTGCTGACCCACAGAGACACTGTCAAGGCCTGGGCCAGGATTCTTTGCTTCTTTGTCCTCCCCCAGGCCTGCACTCTGGAGTTGATGGTGGTTTACTGGGCCTGACTGGGGAACCCTGCTTCCTTTGACCTCCCCCAGGTTTGTGCTGTTGTGCTAACTGGGGTCTCCTAGGGCTGACTGAGGCACCCTGCTTCCCTAGGGCTCCCCAAGGCCTGCACCTTAGGGCTGACTAGGGCATCTTCCTGGGCCTCCAGCAGGCCTGTTTCCTGTTGATAACTTGGATGCCCTGCTTCCTGGGGCTCCTGCAGGTTTACATCGTAGGGTTGAGTGAGGTGCCCTGCTTCCCTAGTCTCTGAGGAGAGATGCTGTCCTGGCATTTGCCATCTGTGTGTCAGGCCTCTGTTTCCTCCTGGACTTTGAAGACTCCAAAGTTCAGGACTCTGCCAGAAAGACCTCTAAGGCTGAGCAGTGAGAAAGGGCAAGGAAGGAGCCTGCCTCAGCCAGGACCTTCATTTCTAACCGTGGGGTAGAGAGCAGGCCAGCACTGCTCCAAACAGGGCATGCACACGTGAGCACGTGTGCATACATACACACACGCAGGCATGTGTACACACACACAGACACACACACACACACACACACACAGACACACACACACACAGAGACACACACAGACACACACACACAGCCATTTTCACAGGGCTTTCGACCCAAGCAGAAACATGTTTTGAGTTCCCTGTCTTGAAAAGCCTTGTGATCTTGCCTGAATGCTGGACAGTACAGTGCCTGACTTGCTCTCTCTCAGGCACAGCTCAGTTTCGTGGCTGTCAAACAGTTGCTCTGGACCCAGTGGTGCACTCTCAGATCTTCATAAAAATGCAGGGCCCATCACACACTCCAAGAGGAGGTCCATGAGTGGGACCCCACGGGCTGGAGGGTTCTGTGCCCAGGAGCATAGCAAAGACTTGGGAGGAAACTCCCCAGCACCTGGGAGCCCAGAATACTGTTTTCAAGCTACACCTATGAGCCTAGGACAGGCTGTCCATGCTTCCTATGCCCCTGCCTGCATCTAAAGACAATGACCTCCTTTGAGAACAGAAGGCAGATAGGGGACTTGTCACTGGCTTCTAGGAGGCAGTTGCCCTTGGACTGAAATTGTCCATGACGCCAAGACTGGCCTAACTTCACAGGGACTTTTGGCATGCGATTCCCACCTGCTGTCCCTGTTGCCCATCTCCCCTGAGCACCTGACTGTGTGCCCCACTATCTTCATCAGATCAAACACAGCTGAATAAATGTATGCCCACCACCAGCCCTGGAGAACTCTTTGGTGTGGTGTTGGTGGGGAGTAGCACAGACAGACACACAGGCAGAGACTACAGTAGTACAGGCACATTGAAAGGCAAGGGCCATCAGAGGGGCACTGGGCTGTGGCAGCAATGATAGGGCAGTGTCACCTCCCCTAGATGACCTGACTGTAAGCACAGATCTGAGTCCCATGCTAGCCTGTCCTATGTCAGCATCTCCCTGTGAACATCAGCAGCACGTTTCTGTCCCTCCGTCCATCCAGCACCCTTCCTGCCAAGGCCTAGAGGTGTGAGGCTATCCCTGAAGCTCATGTCTTCATCCTCCCTCCTCTGACTCCTCTGGGTCAGACAAGCACACAAAGAGGAAACAGTGGCTCACCCAGGGCTTAAGTGCCACTGAGCTAGCAGCTAGCTTCGGGGAACTGAGTTGGATTGAACCTGTCTTTTACCTGCCTGTCATACTTGGGACCACCAGTCGTTTAAGGCCAACCTAGGGCTCTTTCTGCAGCCCGGGAGACTCCTGCAGGGAGCCACTCTGTAGGGGTGAGGGGCCACTGGACACAGCACAGTGACACAGACAGACATGGAGCACACACTGGGCCTGTAGCCCTGCCTGTGTGTGCAGGCTGGAGACGCTTACCTAGGGAGAGTCCATTGGTGATGGCGGTGGAGGAGGTGAGGGTGAGGCCCCTGCGGGGGCTGCGGGACTCTAGGACACTGTCATCCAGAAGGTGCCTGGCTTTCTCCGATGGGAATGTCGCACTTTTACTCTCAACTACACTCAACTGACACATCATACTGGAAAATGGAAAGGAAGAAAGAAGGCAAGCTCCTTATCCGTGGAGCAAGGTGGCCACACTTGCCCTGGGGACCAGAGCCAAGGGCCAGCTGCTAGAAAAGGCCTCTGCCCAGAGCCATGGGTGGCCCAGGCTCTGCCCCTTCTCATGGTGTAACCTTGGGCAAGTCACATCCTTTCTCTGAGCCTCAGTTTCTCCATCTATCAATGGAAACTAATGCTGCTTGCCCTGCCTGTCTCCCAAGATGAAGATGAGGCTTGAGATGAAGGCATAGTAAGGAGCAGGCGGGCCATAGCCAGCTTGGCCAGATCCTGACTCCAATGCCCCCTTTTTGAGAGAGGCATCACAGCCTCATGACCTTCATCAGACTCACGGTGTGTATAATGACAGTAGCTGCTCAGAGGCCTTCACAGCTCCGTGAGATGGTGCCCCATGGGTTTGTGGTGGTGTCTAGAGGGAGGGGAGGCATTGAGGACTCACAGCTATTATGTCCTTGTCCTCTTGCCTCTGAGATCCTCTGGGGTCAGCCCAAAGGGCACTGGCACTTGTGCCTTAGCGGTAGAAGGCAGGTAGGCGGAAGGAAGGGAGGGAGGGAGGAAGGGAAGGAGGGAGGGAACCAGGGAGGGAGGGGAAAGAGAGAGGGAGGGGAGGTAGGGAATCCTCTGTTTGGGAATCTATGCCCATTGCCCAGGTGACACAGGCATGGCTTCCCCTGGTCAGGTTGAGGACCTCCATGTCCCCTAGTTATGGGCCTCATAAGGCCAGTGAACCAGCAGGTGCACTGCTCTGCTGGAAGACACCACAACACACCTACTGCCGCCCTGAGGAGAGTCATCACCAGTATCCACTGGACTTGGCTCTCCCTGAATGAGCTGTTAACCAAGCTTGGGCATTTGCATCCTTTCTCCACTAACTTCTGGTCCTGGGTCCCTACTGGTAGCGTATACAGTGTATTACCACCTGCCCCTCCATGTGTCCTGAGCTCACACCAGTCTTAGGAGAGTATGCCTGCCAGGGACACCAAGAACTCCCAGAATGGAGTGGGGGAAGGACCCAACATTCCTTTAGCCCGAAGAGGGCTGCTCAGTCACCCACTTGTTGCCCAGGCTGTGGCTCTTCCTATGTCTGGGGACTGGTGGTGTGGGAAGGCTGCCGGCCACAGATGCATCAGGACAGGTGGGCCTCCGGCGGAACCTGGCTGAGCTGGAACCAGCGGAGGGGCCTGTGAAAAGAGCAGATGGAGAGCCATAAAAGGCTTCATGGGGGAGAAAGTAAAGGGTGAGGATCAGTGGAACTGGGTCACGGGTTTGAGGTACCGCCCCCTCCTCAGTTGTCACAGATGAGATGAGGTTTACACAGGTCCTGCAGCAGCTTTCTACTCATTAGATGCCAACCCTTCATTCCAAATAGCATCGGCTCCCAAGCAGGAAGGCCTGTGCTACCCAGGTCCACTGATATCCCAATTTTGGCATCCAGGTCCTGTCTGGCAGAACCATCCATAAGAGCAACACCAGAGGCATGCCATTAAAGCAAAGATCCCACCCAGACATCCCAAGCCCAGCAGTCTACGGAGGGCCTTGAATGGGGACGGCTGGAACTGAACCTAGGATTCTATCCACGCACTTTCCCGGCCAGGACCTCCGTGCTGGCATTGGCTGTTCTGAGGCTCTGCCTCTCCACAGGGGATATACTAGAACTGCCCTGAAGGGTGGACCATCTCTGGAAGCTGTGACTATGTGGCCACAGGGGGTCTGGGCATCAAAGCTCAGGTTCCTCAGGTGACCCTGCGTGCCCTGGGGAGGATCCTAGTTTTACATGCTGGGACACAGGCTGGCTCTGTCTCTGGGGAAGAAGTTCCTGTCACTGCTCCGGAGAGGAAAAGAATGCCTAGCATGCTGCTTTGTTTTGGTTTTGCACTGCTGGAAGAGAAGAATCCAGAGGGTGGAGCCCCTTGTTTATCTGCAGCCATACAAAGATTACAGCCCTACTGCCTGAGTCACTGGGCTCCCACCCTGCACATAAAAGTACTCTAGAAAGGTCAGATGGTAAGGCTCCTACCCAGGAGGCCTGAAGTGGGAGCCCAGAGGCCCTGGTTAATGTTAGAGCAGAACCAATAGTGATCACCATTAGGACCTGTGCTGCACACTTGGTGCTGTGCTTCATGGCTGTGCTGCAACCTGAGGCATAGTCTCTTAGGAGCCCTGCGATACGGTGGAGAAGGCAGGCTTATGGATCAGCCACATGCTGGAGGCAGGGACCAAACCTGTGTGCAACAGGCTCCTGGGGGTGGGGAAGGAATGTCAGGGGTTCAGTGTTCAGGCACTGGACAGAGGGAACAGAGAGACCATAGTGAGGGGTCTGGCCATCAGGAGGCACATGCTCCACGAGGACATCTGGAGCGGGAATGACCTGCTACTGTCCTGGAGCGAGAGACTGGGAATAAATTAGCATCCACTCTGTACCAGCTGTGAGCAGCCTTGAACGTTCAAATCCTAGCTCAATGACTCCTGCACACTTGGTTCCAAGGATGTGGGGAGGCCCAGAGGTACACATGACCACATGGCTGGAGGAGGCTACGGCCTCCACTAGCCACTCTGAGGACCGTCACTCTCACCTGGCTCCATGCTTTGAGGTCTCACAAGTTTTCCAGACTCACTTTGATTGCTTCCACTCAACTCCGGATTCTCTCTCCAGGACAAGGCCTGGATGCACCCCTTTCCGCTCTGCTTCAGAGCCTTGGGAAGCATGCCTGGCCTCAGATGCCCCTGGACCAGCTGGGGAGGGTGGGCGGGGGCCCCAGCGGAAGAGCCTGGGCCTCCTGGGCCTGAGTCGGAGCTGCTCTTCTCTCTGCTCCAGGCCTCAGCCTTCCCCCGCATTCCCCCAGCATTGTTGACCAACAGCCTGGGTCTGACGTGGAAGCACAAGAATTCCCATTCAGCTGGGACCCAGATGAGGGGCCTCTCTGTCAATAAGTGACACCCTGTGCTACTGAAAGACCTCATGTTCCTGCTCCGCCAAGCCCTGGGGTGGCCCCCACTTGATGGTGCCAGGACACGTGTCTTCTGAGCTGGGTGGCTGGCAAGCTCATTGTTCATGTCCTCGGCAGGGTGGGGGTGGTGATGGGCTGGGGCTCTGGCCTCCCTAGCAGAGTGCAGGTCCTGCTGCCCAGCCTGATATGGCATGAACTGCTGGAAAAACTGACCATGTGGCCTGACTATCTCAAAGGATTGCTCTATTTTTCCTCAGCATAATTTTTCCATGAATAATCTTCAAAGCTCTTTAAGTGCTGTTTCTTTAGCAGTTTTATTGGAACATATGAGAATTGACAGTTTTTGTGGGGGAACCAGATATTATGTTGAAAAAAAAATCTGGTTTTCATTACAAGAAACCAACATACTGCCCAAAAGACCACTCATTGATTAGTAGAGAAAAGAGCACTGCATCTTCTAATAACAGCCTTGGAGTGGCCAGGATTCTAGATGATGCACGGTTGATGGCAAGGGACTCAGGATTTGGAGTCAGACAGGCCTGGGCTTCCTTCTACGTCTGTGCTTGCAGCCTGAGTGACTTCAGGCAGGTCAGCTCGCCCCTCTGAGCCCTGGGTCTATATCCACAAAACAGAAATGGAGATCCTATCCTTGTTGCCTCCCTGTAAGGAGTCAAAAACACAGTCTCGTCTCGTCTCGTCTCGTCTCGTCTCGTCTCGTCTCCTCTCCTCTCCTCTCCTCTCCTCCCCTCCCCCCCGGCCCCCTCAAATGTTTAGTGAGCCGGGACCTTGGAGTTGCCCCTGTGCCAGGCATTGAAGAATAACATGGGTTGGAAAAGTGATGCTCTGCCTTCATGGGGCAATAGTCAACAATGAGGGGAAGAGAGAGGTGTTTGCACCCAGGGAAAACACAAACTCTGATAGGAGGGTGATAACGATCTGATAAATGTGACCAACATGGCCAGGGCACACACTACACCAACAGCATGACAGCACCAACACTCGGAATAAGGATGAGGCTAACATTTGCAGAGCGTCTACTGCCAGAACCTGTGGTATGTGCTTTGCCCACGTGATCTTATTTAAGCCTCACAACAGCATGGTCATGCAAACGCTACGGTTTCTAACTTTGTGATATGGAACCTGGGGCCTGGAAGGTTCAGAAACTTGCCCAGATGAGCAGTGGGAATTTGAGTGGGGAACTGAGTGGGAACAGAACATTTGAGAATATAGGGGAAGGATCAGAGAAGATTTCTGGAAGGTCTGACATCCTGGCTGGTGCAAGCGCCTGGCACAGGCAGTGACGGAGGCAGAAGGAACAGCGCGAAGGCTCAGAGGTGACAGAGAGCAGAGTCCCCGAGGAGCTTCGAGCTTCACGAGGTGAAGGCATGGCGATGCACTCAGACTCACATCTTAGAAAGCTCTTCTGGCTGGAGAGGAATTGGATGTGGCCAAGATGGAGAGATGTGGATGAGAGGTGTCCGGGAGATGGGCCAGGCAGGGATGCGGAGGGAGGGGACGGAGAGTAACCCTCTGTGTAGGGTATCGTGCACTTGGGGCACAACTCTAGGGGAACAGAGAGACAGGAAGAAGTCCAGTGTGGGGTCAATGTCTGGAGGTCATTGGGGTAGGTGGGTGTGGGTGTGAGGAGGGCATGTTGTGGGCAGGGGAGCCTCTTCCCGTGGATTTCTGGTTCAGCCCTGCCCTGGGCCAGCACTGTCCCACTTCAGTTGGGCTTTCCAAGGCTCACACATTGGAAATTAATAAGAGGCAGCTGTGGGAGAGAGGAAAGTATCAACTGGGAGTCACAAGACTTGGGTTCTAGTCCCGCCTCTAATCCCAGATGGGCTGGGGCTGATGACATCTTCTCCTGGGTGTGCATTTCCTGAGGTGCGAACACTGTACCATCCGGAGCTCCTGCCAGTGCAATCCTGAGCCTCTAATGCCCAGGGTGGGCTGTTACCCAACTGAAGGGTTCAGTGTCCTCTGCTTCCAGCCTGCTCATGTGGAGAGTCCCACTTCAAGATCCAGAACCCGGCCCTTCCAGGTCTGCCAGAGCCCTGCAACTCTTGGGCTGCCGAGGCCCCTGTGCAGACTGTTTGTGTGGAAACTCTTCTCTAGCCAGGTTTCTAGCAGAGCCTGGGAGCTGGTCATTTCTATGTTCGCACACATTCTGCTCTCACGGGTCCTCACTGAGAGCCAACATCCATCTCCACATAAAAGGCCTGACGGTTCATTTCCTTCTGAAAGACAGTGTTTGTCACCCTTGGACTGGGCTGAAGTGGTGCCATGCTTTCTTCATAGCCAGAAGGCAAAGACTTCTGGGAGGCAACAGGGAGTGGGAGCTGAGGACACTCCCACTGATGCCCAGTGTGCTGGGCCATCTCAGGGAATGGTGTTAGGCTGAGTGTATTGAGTCTTGGCCCCTGCCTGGCTTCCTAGCCCTTTAGCTCTTACAGAAGTCCTTCACCTGTTCTGAGCATCAGAGAGGTTTGCAAAGTGAGACCATGTGGAGAGAGGGAAGGCCCTACCCCTATCTAGGCTCTTTTCTTCATCAGTGGAGCCATAGGAGGGTTAGCTACCATAGGTTAGGGCCATAGGAGGGTTAAGTGTGTCACGATGAGGGGCTATTGTGGCCTCCTGTGGACTGAGGTGGCCCAGTAAGAAAATCTGGCACAGCGTGGAGGGCTTGAAAGGATCTAAATAGGAAGCTGCTGGTGGGCCGTTGACTCTGAGGGGCTGCAGAGGTCCAGGGGTGTGTTTGCACCTGCCTAAGGCTGAGAACTTGTAGACTGTCAGAAACATGGATGAAGTGTCCAAGGGAAGAGATAGCATGATCGACTGCCCCCTGGAAGGTGCTGCACCCCAAGATAGCAGCACCCACCTCTATAAATATGTCCCACTGGGCTGTGGTTAGCAAACTGAGGAGCCTGAAAGAGACACTTGAGAGACAAGGCCACACTCTCCTGCCACAGGCAGCCATGCCTGAAGCATGCATTGAGGGGAGGGGGGGGTGATTCTCACATGGAACTAGCTAGCACCTGTGGACTGGTGGGGACGGTGTGTGACTCAGCACATCTGTTGGAAAACCAGGCTTGGAGACACATACCTGGAACCCCAGCACTCAGGAGGGAGATGGAGAGGATTAGGTATTCAAGGGCATTCTGGGCTACATTTGAGGACAGTCTGAGATACATGTACCCTGCCTGCTCGTGTTAGATGTAGGTAATAGACCTGTCCAGGCCCAGCCAGAAGTCAGCTCTGCCACTTCTCTGATGTGTGAGAATGGCCAAGCACCCCAGCATCTTTACCTACAGAATGGAGTCAGGTGAAAGTAGAATAGGCCCACCTGTCTGGTGGGACCGACCAGGCAGGACCCAAGTGCACTGAGTGAACGAGCACCAGGCAGGCTCAGAAAGGTGCTCAGTAATTATTGCTCAGTCTAGGTCGGCTGTGGTAAAGAGGTGGTGATGATAAAGTTGATGACGCAGCAAAAGTGTTTCCCTTGTGTGAACTATCTGGGGTGCTCCAGTGAGTGGCAGGGTCTCTAGCCCCTTTTGACCCACAGAATGTACATGTGTCATTAAAAGTGGTGTTCTTTGCCTTAAGGTCTGGGGTGGCAGGCGATGTGACAGTATTACCTGGCATGGCCCGTGAGCACTGGAGCTGGGGCAGTTGTGGGCCCTCGGGTTTCCTCTTTGGTGCTCAGGGCAATCTCATAATGTCCTCCATGTAGCTGCCATCAAAGTCTGCCTGGAAGGCCAGGAGCCAACATTTCCAAGAAGCATTGTACCTACAGCAGAATTTCTAGCACTCAGGGGAACCCCTCAGTTGGCCCCATGATGTGAGTCTGTGTGAAGCCTTACTGTTCCCAGGAAAACCAAGGAGAGGCGAACCAACTGATGGGATCCTAAAGCTCAGAGGGGCTTCAGCCAGGCTCTACTGAACCCACAAGCAGTGAAACTAGGAGACAGGAAGGTGTGCAGGAGATCAGCCTTGAGGTTCGAGGGCAGAGACAGAGGCCAAGGTGGAGATTTTCCTGGGCTCAAGTGTGGTCAGGAGTCTTCAGAGGAAATCTGTCCAATAGGGAAGCCATGTCGGGGCAGGGCTAGAGGAATCTGGAAGTGTCTTTAGTAGCTCCAAGGCATACACATATAAACATCACTTGCCCTCTGTCAGGGTGGAGAGAGGCAATGTTCTGTGCAGTATTTTTCTCTCCAGGAAAATATTAGTTCATTTATATAAACTGAACATTACACATAGAGAGAAATGGAAAACGTGGCATTCCTGGCCTTTTTTTCCTCCACAGACCCAGAAACAGAGCTGGTTTCTCCATTTCCTTTCTCACAGTCTCCTCGCTGGGGACTGCCTGCCTGCATGGCCATTTCCCCAATGGGAAAGTGGGGGGGGGAGCTCTCAGCAGGGTACAGGGGCCATCAGGGACCACTGCTGATGCCCATCAAGGCCCTGAGAAAACTGCAGTTGCTGTACACTGTTCAGGGTCTAGGTCTCCCAGTCACTGACAGGGAGCTGGTTAGAGAAGGGCCAGAGACCCCTCATACATACGATCTTGGTCTGCTTACACTGTCCTCTTTCTCCTCTGAACATGCTCGTCTTTGCCCCCCTGGCCTCTGCTGCCTTGTCTCCCCAACCAAGACATGCACTCCAGGAGGCCAGGGTCTTTCCTTGTTCTCACTGGGCCCCCGGTTCACAGCAGGTGCTCGGCCTATGCAGGCCTGCGGCACACAAGCCTCATGAGAATGAAGGCACAAGTTTAAGGGCCTTCCTTGGTGAGTGTGGGGGTATCTGACAGCTGGGCAGAGCTTTGAGCGAGACTAACCCCCCTCCTGAGGAGTAGAGGGAGGACGCGTTCCTCCCATTCTTGGGACTGCAAGAGGCACATTCCTGTCCTTGTGTCTGGTGAAGCTCCTGCCACGCAGCTCAGTGTAACTGCCAGAGATGCGAAGGCTTCTTCGGAGCTGCCCCCCAGGTTCTGCCCTCTCTGGGACCCCTAGGCTGCCCCAGGCTCCAGCAGCACCTCCTGTCTGTCCTCTGAGGCTGCAAGGGCCATCAGATGAGTATGAGATTTCCAGAAAGTTGCCAGCCCTCTGGTGATCAACATAAACCCTGACATCCTGCTTTGGGGATGAAGCCAGGGACTTGGAAAATTGGTGGAAAACACTCCTGTGAACTGGACTCTCTCTGTGATGCAGAAATTGCTGGCATCAGCATTTCTCTGGAAGGCTGTGCAGAGTCAGCAGCCAGCCCTGTGCTAGAGCTGCCTTCAAGGACAGGTGCCCATAGGGCCCAGCAAAGACCTATGGGGCTGGGGCTGAGGGGTGAGGCAGCTGGTCATGGGCATTCATCCAGGGTGCTGCATGCTAGGTGCTAGGAATTCCACACTGGCCTGTCTCTAAGGGGGCTTTTACTCTGATGGAAAAGACAAACATTGGGCAAATGAGTTCAGAGCTGACTGGTGGGGGGAAGGTCATGCAGTGCACTGGCCACAAAAGGATGTGATGCAAGTCCTCAAACCCCTGTGAGAGGCTGGGCAGGATCAGGCTTTGCAGGCCATGGAGTCTGTATCCCAATGACCCAACTCTGCAGTGTAAAAGCAGACACAGACAGATGTCAAAGGCAGGTATGGCCATGTGTCTTCCTACGCAGAAAGAGTATGGACCAGTTTGGGTTCCAGAACTTACTGGCCTGGGGCCTCAGTTAGTAGCATTTAGCTAAAGCCTGGAGCCTAATTCAGTAACAGAATCAGATTGACAACTTCAGCATTATCGTGACAAAAGTTGCCTCTGATGGGACTCTGGGCAAGCTCCAGGCCAGGTTCTATAGAAGTTTTCAAAGCAGCCCTGTGAGCAATGTGTGTGCTATACCCACTTCATAGGTGGAGTGTACAGTGCTGAGATCTCAGAGGAGCAGTTGTTGGGGGAGGGTTCTACAACAGGGACAAAGATTATAAAGTAGAAACCTTCCCAGGACCACAGTTCTCTTGGCTACCCTTGCCAAACGGCCATCTGTCAGGGAGTGGGTTTGCAAGGAGACAGTGGGAGCTACTTTAACACAAGGGCCTGGGAGGCGCCATGAAAACCACACTGTGGCCAGCTCTAACCCGGTCCTGATTGTCTCAAGGGTTGCACAGCAGCATCTCCCAAGGCTCTGCAAAACAACCAGGTCACTCCCTGCCAAGTGACCTGGGGAATGCAGGGGTGTGGGCAGAGTCCAGTTTACCACAAAGCACCAGTGGAGGCTGGCAGAGACAAGGAGCCAGGAGCACATCCCAGATAAAAGACAGAGGCTCTGCAGGGTAAGGCTGGGAGGAAGCTGCCACACTGCCCCTGAGGGCTCTATGAGCCTAGTCTACCAACACACATCCTGGCTGGGTGCATGGAGGGGATGACTTGAGTAGCGCAAGGCTGGGGATGGTATGACACCAGGCAGTAGTTTTCCACCTGCTTCCTGAGCACTCACTGTAGGCCAAGCTATGCTGGGTACCTCCTGAACAGCATTTCAGTTTTGATGTTCACCTTGGGACGATGGTTTCAGTATCCCCATTTTACATGTAAGGAGACAGAGACGCTGAGGGATAAAGTCACTTGTTTAAGGCTGCAGTGGCTTAGAGCCCAGGTTGGGTGATTGAGAGCTGCAACCAGGAGGACATACTACTGGATGCCTCCCTTGCCTCTCCCCAGACAACAGTGCAGATCAGCCCCTGTCCCTAAGAGCAGGCTGGACTGTTACTGAAGGCCACTGTTGTGACAGAAACAATGAGGCAGCTCACACCAAGTGAACCAGAAATGCAAAGAGACAAACCCAGATTTCGGATCCCACTACTGGGAATGCAATGTGTTTCCCCAAAAGGTGGGTAAACCTGATGCTCTAGGAAGATGTGTCATGATGTCTCATGTATCCTTGCATCCTGTGCACCCCTCTGGAGCATGTAACACCAAGGTTGGAGTGCAGCCTGGGTGTCAAGGGACTGCGTAGCCTGGGAAAGACTGTGGAGTTTTCTGTGCTTTGTGCATGTTTCTGACTTGGGCTCTGACCTCTTGTGGTCCCAAAGGATTAGGAGCCTGGCAGGTTGGCACAGGGGGCTGTGAGCAGCGACAGCTGAGTCTGTCATGCTGTGAACTTGACTGTGCTCTTGAGTCCCACATATGCCCATCCTGGCAGCCTAGCTTGGGCTGAACGTGGTTTTGCATCAACTTGAGGTAGCAACAATACCTGCAAGGTCTTCCTTGGAAGAGACTAGTCTCGGAGAGCTGCTTCCTGGTTCGATTCGGAGTGAGAGCCTGAAACCAAAGATTTTCACAAGGTCAGAGGGCCCAGGCTTATCATGGGTGTGTGTGTGTGTGTGTGTGTGTGTGTGTGTGTGTAATGGAAGCTTTAGGGGAGCCAGGATGGCTGTTAAAGGGTACAATAATCACAGAACCCAGGAATATTGTGAGACCTGCTCCCAGTCACAACCCCTCCCTTTGATGTCTCTCCAGTTTCCAGGCCCAAGAAGCAATGGTTAAAGAAAACAGATAAAAACACTGGCTCTTGATTATCTACTTCACAGCTCTGTGACTGAGGTACGTTTACTGCTGAGGAGACTAAGAAGGTTAAGCAGCTTCCACCCCTGAATGAATGAGGCTAGCAAGTGGCAGGCAGGACCACTGTGATGGAAAGGAAGGCTCCAGAGGACAGGACTGTGGCCTGGAGACAGCCCTGGGAGGTGAAGGGAATCCCAGCTCACATGTGCAAAGCAGTTTGCCTGCTTACTGCCTCCATGGGGGAAAGGGGGACGGCTGGGATTCCCGGGCTGGGGAAAAGGGGAAGGTTGGGAGTCCCCGGCCCTCCCAGCCAGCAGGAGGGCCAGATGCCTCCCTCCAGGTAGCACAGCTAGGCAACATTCAGACAAGACTCTCAAATGGTAGCAAGAGGAAAAAGCAAGGGTCTAGAAACACAAAAGACACTGTTTTACAAAAGGGACGAGAAAGCGGCAAGTACTGCCCTGCCTCTGGGCCCACGCCAGGAGGCAGTAGTGTCCCTGTGTCATCCCTGCCTCCACTCCCTAGAAACCCCCTCAGGTGCATCCACTGTGGGAATGACTTACAAGAACGTGAGCTGAGTTAAAACCTGAACACCAAGATGATGACACAAGGAATAAGATGAAATGGGAGACTCAGGACAGATGGAAAACAGAGAGGGCTGGCTGAACACCAAGTGGCAACAGATCACTGGGGACTGCTAGAGACCTAGGAGGTGATCACAGCTGCTAGAAAGCAGCTCACAGAGGAGGAAGGCAGCGAGCACCCAACACCTGCGCCCTGGAAGGTTGAAGTGAAGAACCGGTCTGGAAGAAGTCAAAGATACAATCAGCAGAGCTGGCCTGCAGCCAAGAAGGGCCACTGCCTGGCCAGGGAGATCTGGGGCCGAGCACTCCTCTCTGAGCTTCCCACTTGTATTTCATGGAGTTCTTCACCCACCAGGTAGACAAAACGGGTGTGTGCAACAGACTGACTTAAGACTTTGTCAGCAGCAGCAGCACCCAATGTCGGGAAGCCATGATGCTAGGTCTAGAGACCTGGGGGAGAGCAGAGGTGGGTACCCAGGAGGTCAGATCCAGGGATGCAGCCGTCTGAGAACCAGCCCTCTGAAGAAGGCAAAGCTCCTGTTTCCTGATGAATACAGCTAAATAAGGGAGTGATTTAAAATAAAGCTTCCAGAACAACAGGTGGTAAGAAGGAATTCATTTGAAAACACAAAACAGTAGAAATTATGATTTGTAAGCATGGTGTTTGTTATAAACTTGGAGGATGGGGTACAACGATTAACAGAAAAAACTGGAGGATGGTGGAGGGGGACATAGCGAATACTAATAGTTCATCTTTGATAACCAGAGCCAGCTAATGCTGCTTCTAGAAACTTAGTTACAGGGAACCACCCAGACGAAGCCTCTTCACTGTTTACTTGACTCCCTCTATGAGTATTAGGAAGCTGTTTTAGGGAATAATCTTTTTTTTCTATTTTTTTAATTGATTTATTTTTCTTTTATGTGTACGAATGTATTGACTGCATGTAAGTGCATCCATGTCATGCAATGCCCGCAGAGGACAGAAGAGGGCGTTGGATTCCATGGAACTGGAGTTATGGACAGTTGTTAGTTGCCATGTGGGTGCTGGGATTTGAACCCAGGTCTTCTGCAAGAACAGCCAGTGTTCTTAACCGCTGAGCCATCTCTCCAGCCTGGGAATAATCTTTTTTAAAAGATGTCTTTTTAGTTTTTAAATTATATGTTTGTGTGTGTCTCTATGTGGGCATGTACATGTGTGTGCAGGTACCCAAGAGGGTCAGAAGAAGGTGTTGGAACCCCTGGAGGTGGGGTAACAGGCAGTTGTGAGCCACCTGATGTGGGTTCCAGGAACTGAACTCCTATCCTCTGCAAAAGTATCCAGTGCTCTTAACTACTGAACCAGCTCTCTAGCCCCAGGAAGTAATGTCTTGTAGTAAATAAATACTAACTTAAAGAGAGATCATTCCTTAGCCTTTATTCCTTTTTTCTGGTTGAATTAAAAGAAAGTTAAGATTTTTAATTAAAAATGGCAATGCTACGACCCAAGGTGAATAAATTCTACCCTTGCATCCATCCATCTACCCAGCCTTCTCTAAGTACAGAGAAAATTTTCATGCATAGGAAGGCGTTCACAATTCTGTTTACTTCATGCTAGTTTGGAGTTATGCTTTCTAGGTGGTGGGACTTGGGCAGTTTTTCTTAAATCAGTAACACAGACTAACGACTGAGAAAGATGAGACATTTGTTGGGCCTCCTGGCAAAGAATCTCAAGGCAGAGAGCAACAGAGCACTAGAAGTGTACAGTCATCGACGTGATGAGGTTTTCGCATCCTTGAGGCTGAGGAGCCACCTCCAGGTGTGAGCTGTCCACAGAGTACCCGGGGCTCTGGCACAATCACAGGTCCTGTCTGCCTCCTGCCACTTAGAAACAGCACCTCCTCGGGAAGGGAGTTCTCTGTGATCAAGGGGCCTGGAGAAGGCCTGTCTCCCTGAGTTTGCCTACTTTGCCCCAACAAAGAGCCTTTGTGAACCCCAGGCTGACTGTTGTTTAGCATGAGAGCTGGGGTGCTCCCCTCCTTCAGAATGGAAGGAGTAATTACTCATAATCTGCAGCTTGTCCAAGGATTGTCTCATGGTCAGAAGCATTTATAGGCCACTTTTCTCCTTAATGCGTATGAGTGTTAATGAAAAACTACTGTCTCTCTAATGGCAAGACTCGTGTGTGAATGGAAAACGTTATCCCAGAACCTAAGTGGGAAGAATTTCCCCACCCCTGGCCACTCTTTTCAGGAACAGAAAATGCTTTGTAAATAAAATAAGCTCAATTTGGAATGGATACAAGTTTTTTTGTTTTGTTTTGTTTTGTTTTGACAGGCTCGTCCTGTAGCTCCTGCTGGTTTTGAACTCACTGTGTAGACCAGGCTGGACTAGATCTCACAGAGATCCCCCTGTCTCTGCCTCCAGAGTGCCGGAATTAAAAGGCCTGCACCACCGTACCCAGCTTGAATGCAGTTTTAACAGTAACCTTTGACCTTCATCTGTGCCTCTTTCTATTACAAAACACCACAACTTTGTACCATTCATTATTTTGATGAATGATGATACAGGAACAATGAAGATGGTCTATGCTCCCAAAGATGGTTAGAGCTACGCAGGAGCTCTGAAAGAAGGTCAATTCCAGAGAGTCGTGTGGACTAGAAAGAGACTGGTGACCCTGACTCACAGCTGGGGCTGCGTACTACCACTGCTGCACCAGCTTGAACAGCCAGTCCCCAGATTCAGTGAGGGACTCTAGTGGCTGAGGTTCCAGACAGTTTTCACTGACTGAGATGAATATTAAGTAATCAGGAAGGTCAGACTTTCAGACACAAAACTGTAAGGGATAAATATGACACTAGATAACAGGATCCAGAGGAATCACTGGACCAGCCAGAAAGATCAGTGTGAAGTCTCTGTGAAGATGACTGGTGGCAAATGACCCAGCACAACATGGCTGAGACTTGCCTTGATATCAAATTACATGAAAAAAGTACTGAGCCAAGAGTACATCCAGCCAATATGGCAGACAGAGCTGACTTTTAAAACCCTCCTTCTCCCTCTAGACACTGAGTTTGACAGGGGAGGTACTCCCAAGTGCCACCAATCAAGGAAGAACTGCAGACCCAAGCAGTGCAAGTGGAGGATGAGCCCAAGGGCCCTCGGGGTCTTTCCCAGAAGAGCATCTTCTCACAGGGATCATGCTGGGGACCTGAGCTAGAGCCAGATGGAGAGCCCTGCAGAGAGCTGAGAGCCACAGGGGACTGACTGTTTCATCCATTTGTGAAACAGGACCTTGGAGAACTCTGCTCATGGCCTGGAGATATGGCCACAGAGCTGACCTTCCATCCAGTGCCAAGAGCCACTCGTAAGAACCTCAGTGCCAAGCCTGCCCCAACACACGCTGTGGAATCCACGTGTATGTTCCTCAGGTCACATGGGAAAATGAGCATCTCCCTTGGGCTGTGGGGCTGGGGCAGAGGCTGTGCAGACAACTTATACTGTGGGGTCTAAGAGGTGGGAGGTCCTGCTGCATATAGTGCTGTAGTGGTGGGGTCTGGGAGCCCATCAGGTAGCCACTTACCAGTTCCATTTTGGGCTGGGTCAACTGCAGGTACCTGGGTATGGGGACAACAGTGGATAGACTGCCTAGCTCAGGGTGGACAGGGACTTACTTGTAGTTGTCATCTTCCACAAACTTCTGGAGCTCCTCAATGTAGCGAACAGACTTCAGGTACTTCTGTACATGGGGCAGGGTGGTGAGGTGATCTGCAAAAAGGGGGGAAAGCCCAGAGGCTTCAGTCTATCCCCAGCCCAGGGACCACTGATGGTGATGCCTCTGGATCCTGAGGCTTGTGCATTCTCCTTGAGGCTAGGCTCGGGGGTCAGGTTTAGGTTCTGCCCTTGTGGAATGTGACCTCAAACATTTGGCCGGGAGGGAGAAGGTAAGGTTGAGGAAAGGTGGAGCCCTGACCTCTAGAATGGACCTGAAACCTGCCTGTGCCCCACACAGGTTTCTAGTGGTGGACAGTTTCCTTCAGTTGTGTGATAGGAAGGAAGGGCCTGCCCAGCCAGTGTGGAAGTCCAATCTGGATGGCAGGCTCTGCACCAGGTCACAGATAGCAGACATCTGTTCCAACCTTCACTCCTGCCTCGTGTTGGAGAAAGACTACCCCCATGGCACAAAGGAGAGACTGAGGCAACTCGCAAAGGTCATATCACTGAGAGGTGGCAAGGCTAGGCTCTGACCCCAGCTCATGTAACACCTGTGCCATGCCATGCGACCTCTTCCTTGGAGTGACTTGTGCCAGCCACTTCACTCTCCATGGACCTTCACCCTCACTGCTTCCTCCTGAGAGGGTCACAGGGTGAGACAGATGCGTCAAGTGGAGAGGCTAGGGGAGAGGAGGAGGTTGTGAAGTGGAGCAGGGAGGTGGGCAGGAGGCCCTCCATCTCCAGGCACCTTGGGGCCCCGGCCTTGTTCTGAGATTCTCTAAGTCCTCAGTGTCCTCATCTCTGAAATGAAGACAATCACATTGGCTTGGACAGGTGGCACAGGCGAGGGAAATGGTGCTGAGTGCACATTTGCTGAGTGCTGGGACATGTAGGCGTTGTGCTAAGGGCTTGGCACCCAGCATAGACCCATTTTCACACGGGAACAAACCATGGAGAGGAAGAAGTGACTTTTCAAGAGGCAGCACTGAGACTCTGACCCCCAGACCTGCAGACCTGGGTCTGTGATTGCTCTGCTGGCTAGGGTGTTTATTCAATGGAGGCTCTAGAACAGACGCTGAGAGCACAAGAGCCCATCAGAGAGCTGACCGAGGCCTCGAACCCCACCTGCTCTGGGATGCTGTGAACTGTGGTCTTCCCAAATAGAAGCTGCTGCTTCTCTCAGCCTGTGTATGACAGGCAGGGCTGGCTTTTTTTCTCAGACCCTGTTGGTGCACCCAGATGTCTACTCCTTTACCCTGCTGTGAAAACTGCTGCAGAGAGGTGACTCCTTGCAGCTCTGTCCTGCATTCTCCTGTCTCTGACTTCCTGCCTGGCTAGTTATAGCCACTCACAAAGAACTGGGGCACCTGGCTCACAGGTGGGCCCCACACCCCCACGTCTACCATCTTGTATGACATCACTGCCCACAGCTAGTATTCTGACTTCTCAGTTACAGAGTCTCCAATGAGCTTCTCCATGGATTCCAGACACCCACCATGGTGCTTACACTTTGACTCTGGCCATGTGCAGCAGGGCCTGGCCAGTGGCTCACCAAATCAAATGTCCCTTTTCTTCTAGACCTGAAGCTAGATTACATGGCCTAGGCTGAGGCAGAAGTGACGTGAGCCTCTTGCAAGTCTGGCCCATAAAATCCACTCTTGTTAGCTTCTCTATTCCTGCCTTTGCCATCTGGGTGAGAGCCCAGGGGAGGCCTCAGATGGAAGAGCCGCAGACGGAAGGAGCCTGCATGGAGGAGAGACGTCTGGGTCCTGCTCACCAGGCTCTTCACAGGTGAGGGAGCCATAGCCAGCTAGACTGGGGGTCTGCCACTCACTGGATGTGTGCTCTTAGTGGCCAGTGTTCGGCCTCATTTTTGTCATGAGTAACACAAAGTGACATCTAGTTTGCAGAGTCTTTGAAGATGAAACCGTTGCGTAAAGGTTTGAAGATTCAAAGTCCATGTTTGAAGCTCAAGATATTAAAACTAAGAGCTTTGTGGGGCTACCTGGTTTCCAGGGCTTTCTTGTGGCTAAGGTACTGAATCCAGATTTCAATGGTGCGATTCACAATTCTAAGCAGCTGGAGTACTAACCGTAGCTGCAGGAAACTTGTAAATCCGCAATGATTCGGAGAATATTGTTCATTTGGTTGGACCGTTGCTCGTTTTCCATGATGCTGCCGGAGGCAGGGTATGCAGAATCGATGTAGATCAAATCCAGAAGGTAGATCCCTAGAAAGGAAGAAGACAGTTATGCTGGGGGCTTGCCACTCACTGTAAGAGTTCAGTACCCCCCTCTGCAGGACGGTAGAAAGGACGACCTATAGGCTTGTATTCCAGCTCTGATGGACACTCTTTTTCACTCAGGAGGCACAACTACAAATCAAACATCTGAGCAATAGCCAAAATGAATGCTGGCAGATACAATGTTGCTTGTACAGCCTTCCACAACAAGGCTTCTGACCTGTAATCCAAATAACAGGACACGAGAGAGGTAGACATGCATGTTTTCCACTGACTAGCAAAGGTGTCGTTTCCAGGAGAACATCCATTCATTTATCTAGCTGTTTGTATCTGTCCACACACATGGGCACAAATGCACACACAATCATAAATTAATTAAGGGACAGAAGAAGAAGTTAAAAATGAGCTATTTCTCTGTACAAATAACCAAGGCCTGGCAGAGAGCTCTCCCAAAGGCAGTTAATTAGAAAATAAGACATAATTCAAAGATGGGCTCTGATAGGCCGATGGTGAACCCGGGGAGTCCAGGGCAATTTGCGTAACTGAGAAGGTGGGGGGGGGGCTGACGCTGCAGCTGCAGCCCGAGCCTCTACACAGCTGTCAGATGACTGACTGCCTACAGAGCTATACTTCAGATGATCTGGGGATAGGGAAGAAAAATGGACGGTACGTTCTTCCAGGGGCCCTCCATGAACAATGCCACTACCTCACCTACCACAGACCTGGTGTTGGGCAGAAGTGACGCAAAGAACTGAAGGCAAAGGGCAGTGAGCGGAGCAAGGAGGACGATGGACAGCAATGCAGATGCTTGAAGGAGAAGATTCAATGACTCCACATCCCTATGCATGAAGCAACATCCATCAGACACATGAAGAAAGAAACCATTGGAAATGGAAAGTGAATTCAAAAATGCTACAACCAGTGGCTGCAGAGACGGCTCAGTGGTTAAGAGCACTTGCAGAGGACCAGGGTTCGGTTCCCAGCATCTACATGATGGCTAACAACCATTCATAACTCCAGTTTCAGGGGATATGATGCCCTCTCTGTCCTCCACAGGCACTGCATGACACAGGTGCACTTACATGCATGTAATACACACATACACATAAAGTAAAAATAATACACAAGTTTTTTTTAAATGCCACACCATAGACTAGGAAGCCTTTGGCTTGCCTCTTTTGGAATTTATATATATGCACGTATATACACATAAACATAAATACACATACATACACATATATGTATATCACAGCTGTACTGATGATATAGTATTTTAATAAAAACTTAATAAGCTTGGGTTTGATTATATGTATGTACAGTGTATGTACTGAGTGTGTATATGTGTGATGTATGCATTTGCATTTGTGCGTGTGCGTGTGTGTGTGTGTGTGTGTGTGTGCGTGCTTCCCTATGCGAGCCCACGTGGAATTCAGAGGTTGATGTCAGGACACCCCCCCCTCATTGTTCTGTACCTTATTTTTTGAGACAATCTATCATTTTGGGAAGATTCCAGGGCTGGAGTTACATGCACAACATGCTGTCATGTCTGTTATTTTTGTTTTTAACACAGGTGCTGGGGATAGGTGCTCACACTTGTGTCACAAGCCCTTTATCCACCAGGCTATCCTCTAGCCTCTAATAAGCTTGGTTTTATATAAATAAAAATACAGTTCTTTTCAGATGCTAATAGAACACAAAAATTGATTTATTCTGGATTATAATGGAAAGTTCATTAGGTTGTAAATAGTAAATGCCATATTGTCCACATTCTCTGACCTTATAGTGAGACACATAAGACCAAAAGGTAGAAAAAATTCTAATCATTTCAAAGTACAGAATCATAAGAAGCTCCAAGGTTGCCAGGTGTGGCACATGCCTTTAACCCCAGCACTCAGGAGGCAGAGGCAGGCGATGTACGTGAACTCAAGGCCAGCATGGTCTATACAGAGAGTTCCAGGCCAGTCAGAGCTACACAGTGAGACTGTCTCAATTAAAAACAAACAAACAAAAACAAGAAAGAAACTCAAAAGTCAAATTCTTTTAAAAAGATCTAAAATAGGGGTTGGCGGGATGGCTCAGGGGTCAAGAGCATTGGCTGCTCTTCCAAAGGACTTGGGTTTGAATCCCAGCACCCAAATGGTGGCTAATGGCCTGTAACTCCAGTTCCAGGGGATCCGACACCCTCTTCTGACCTCCACAGGCATTGTCCAACATGGGCACACTGACATACATGCAGGTAACACACTCATACACATAAAACACAAAACCTTTTAAAAGATCTAAAATAAAACATAAAATCTATCTGAAGAGATACTGAGGGGAACACTGTAGAACAGTCCTGGCTGGGCGTGGTGGCATGTGTCTTTAATCCCAGCCCTCAGGAGGCAGAGGCAGGTGGATTTCTGTGAGATCAAGGCCAGTCTGGTCCACAAAGTGACTTCCAGGTGGACGGGGATTAGGGTGAGCCTGTCAAAAAACAAAAGCAAACAACCCCAAAAAGGATAGTTCTGGGGGCTGAAGAGATGGCTCAGAAGTTAAGAGCACTAGCTGCTCTTACAGAGGATCTGGGTTCAGTTCCCAGCACCCACATTGGATGGCTCACAACTGCCTGTAACTCCAGCTCCAGGGGATCTGACGCCCTCTTCTGGCTTCCATAGGCACTGCATGCATATGGTATACATACATACATGCAGGCAAAACACTAATACACATTAGATAAAAATAATTTTTTTAAAGTGTGGGGTTGGAGAAAGTTAGCTCAGTGGCTTAGAGCACTTGCTGTTCTTAGAGAAGGACCTGGGTTTGGTTCCCAGCACCCAGTTGGTGGCTTATAACTGTTTGTAACTTCAGCTCCATACAGATATGCAAAACACTCATACATATAAAAAGTAAATAAATTTAAAAAATTTTCTTTAAAGTATGGTTCTGGTCAAAGTGGCCATCAGAGAAAAATTTGTACCTTTAAAAGTTTGTATTCAAGGTTATTACACACAGAGGATTTAGTGGGACATGGTAGCACACATCTTTAATCTTGGGAGGTTGAGGCAGGCACAGGCAGATCTCTGTGAGTTCAAGGCCAGCCTGGTCTACATAGCGAGTGCCAGGCCAGCTGGGGCTACAGGAAGACCCTGTCTCAAAAAGACCAAAAAGACAAAAACAAAAACAAACAAATAAACCCCGCAGGATTATTTATCCTTCTGTTAGTATTGAGTTTTAATGTGGATGGATGAGCACTACACTAATAATCACATGTTCATTATCTTATTTGCACTTCTAAATCCCCACTTTGTAAGGAAGGAAAAGGAAACTCAGAGAGGTTGTGCAACTTGCACAAGGTCACACAGCTGGTAAATGATGGAGATGGGAGTGGAACCTTGGCTCCCTCCTCCTGTCCAAACTTCCTGCCACCACAGAGGACCACTAGTCCTGGATACCATGAGTCATTCGTCTGCTTTTAAAATAGCTACACATTGTTCTGGGAAACTGTTAAAATCATAGCAACATGTGCCAGCATGCCTCACACGGGCTATGTCTACTTGCTTGCTTTCTGGTGAGACTATGTTTTCAAATTTTTAGTAATCAGTAATAATTTTGCTTGTTTAGAAGTTCCAAGTTTGGTCATTTTGAATCTACGGTTTTATTCTTTCTCTTGACTTTGTTTCTCCTCTCCTTTCTTAAAAATGTAACTCGGTTACTTCCCTGAGGATTCTACAACGGCAATCCTGAAAATCCCATTACTGCTTCAACCACAACAAAAAAGCATCGCCCAGTGCTGAGCAAGGTAAGGGATGTGGGCCGTGACGTTCCAGATGAAGTGTGTAGATCCAGCCTGGCTGACTCAGAGCTAGGCAGAAACTCAGCCCAGGAACAGAGAAACTGCAGAGAAGAGGAAGAGGGTGGAGGGAACTGAAGCTTCCCAAGGTCTACTGTGAGGTGCACTGTCCCCTCCTAGACCATCACCTCTGGGAGGAGGAGCCTGAGGCTGAGGAGATGAGGAGGCTGCACACACAGTCTGGCAGCTGTGTCAGGACTAACACCACTTCTGTGTGACTGCAGCTCTCATGGTTGTCCTACCAGCCTCCAATGCACAGGGGTGGCCCTTGCTCAGACTCGGCTCTACTCAGAGGCTTGCACTGAGAGGACACCGTGGTCCTAGCTTCCTCTACTGACCTGGAGGACTCCTGAACAGTGTTCTGCAAACCTAGGCCCCAGGAATATGCCTCAGAAGGGTTCAGCACTCCGTTTCTTGCTGGAGATGGGATGGGGATGAGAGGCTCATCCCTGCATAGGAGAACCAATTCCACTGATTCCCTACTACAAAGCATCTAGCACCTGCCTGCGCCTTGGCCCTGAGTGGTTAGGCTAAGGCCACAGTGATAAGGACAGGTAAGTGACCCAGGGAGACCTGCGTCTTGGCAGAAGCACACTGATGGCCTTGCGCTCCCATAACAGACACAGCCACAGAAGAAGTGCATTTTCATAACCACTACATGAGCCCAGGGAAACCTGTTTTGTGTTGTATTAATCAATGACAGGAAGTATTTCTATACCTAGAGCATAATGAGATGCTAAGAATATTCATCTCCCGGCACACTGTGCCAGGAGCTGTGCTGAGCCCTGCCTGGGTTGGGGTAGCGCTCACTACAACTACAACCAGATGCCTGACTGCTCATCAGACCTCACACCCTGGGGCTCAGCTCCCTGAGTGAGTCCCCAGAGTCTGGGGCAGAGCACACAGGGCTGCTCAGTGAATAGGAGCTGAAGAAGGGAATGTGGGAATAAAGGTATATTTTACTTAATCCAGACAATAACCTCATGAGATACTTCTCAAAGCTCTTGTTTCATGGCTAAAGAAAGAGGCAAGTCAAGACACAGATGGTGATCATGGAGCTTGGGGATGCAGCTCAGTTGGGAGAGTACCTGCCCAGCATGCATGAAGCCTGGGGTAACCACATAACCTGGGCATGATGGCATACATCTCTAATCTC